GTGATAATGATCACAACAGTAAAAAATGCATTTTCTCAGCAAACAGTGGCAAACACTAAATCATTTTACTTCACTTGTTTTTTTTAGATTCTTTAGCAATTTAGTGATTCTATGAAATACAAAAAGAGATTGATGCTGTTGGGTCCTTTTGAAAAATACAACAAATAATTTTGACCAATTATGCACTCAACTAAAAATGTTAGAATAATGACGATTTCATTGAACATGTGGGAAGAATGTTAGTACAAGCTCATTGTTTCAATTGTGTTGAACCACCTTGGATGATTTTATTTTAAATTAGGTTTTATAAAATCAACATAACTTCCAAGATTTATGTTCCTGATTGCCTCTTTATTTGAAATGAATTGTTTTGATAAAAGATAGCATGACTATTACCAGCCGTACTGCAATTTGTACATTGAATTAGCTATTCAATATTACATTTACACTTGCCTGTAATTCAATTGATAAACAATAAATACATTCTGAATGATCCAAACAATGTGATTTCTTGCATGGTTCCTGTTATGGATGCCAGATTTCGAAGTAAATCATATTAAACTATGCAGATAATGCCTACTATACAAAGCATTCAGCACTAATCTATTTTTGACACAATGCCATTAAGAACTTTTAGTTAACATGTGGCATCGATTGTTTCAAGGAGGGAGTAAATTTAAATAGACATGTGCATTTAAACTTATAGTAGTATATGATCCTGATATTAAAGATGCATTATGTAAGATTTATGTAAGACTAAGAGCTGATCATAATGAAAAATGAGTATATTAAACATTTCAAATTACTTTCTTCTGAGCGAAGTAACAAGTCTTTGAAGGGTTGGCGATATAGCCTTGATTGTCAAGTACCATTGCTATGATAATAAAAATAGTGGTACATTGCCGTAGACTCCATCGGTCCGGCATCCACAATTGTTTGTGGACGCTCTAGTGGCTAAAGTTAATATCTGATTGATGATACACAATGTTTACATTCATAAGACAAAGAATCCTTTTGATTTTCAACAATTTCTGATAATTACTACAAGAGTTAGGCTCCTTGATCACTTTTAAAAATCTTGTGGATGTTCTAAAGGCTAAAGTTAACATTCTATCAATAAATTTATATAGTGTTTATGGTCATGAAATAAAGAATCATATTGATTTACAACAATTTCCGATAATTACTGCCAGGGTTATGGCCCGTGATCACTTTGAAAAATCTTGTGGAAACTCTAGAAAAGGTAATATCCGATCGACTATAAATTTATACAGTGTTTAAGGTCATGAGACGGAGAAGCCTATTGCTCTTCAACGATTTCCGATAATTAATGCCAGAGTTATTGGCCTTGATGACTTGAGAAATCTTGTAGACGCTCTAGATGCTAAAGTTAATATAAATTTATACACAGAGTGAGAGTTAAGGTCATGAGACAAACAATCGAAACAAATTCTAATGATTTCAGAATATTACTTAATGGGTTGTTCATGGATTTTAGTGTTTTGTAAAGGTTTTCATTACTGGCAAAAGAAAAAATGTGCGACAACCCTTGTTGACTGCCCGGATGACTAAGCTGCTGTGGGTGTATGTTTCGTTGCCTGGAAACCTGACTTTAAATTAAATTATTAAGTGGAGATTAGGCTTTAATCCATTAAAAATCACAGCCATTCAATGATCTAGAGAGTTGATTATGGACTTGACATGTGAATATATGTCTAATTGATAATTTAAAGAACATTTGAAGCCAAAATAACGTGTTGGACTCTAATTTGCAATGATGCAGCCTACCAACTTAATTATTATGTTGTTTTATGGTTCACAAATTGTTAAAATGTTAGTTTATACCATGCTTTATTTGATAACAGAACAGGGGCAGACTAAAGGATTTGTCGCCAGGGCACAAAACCAGACCCAACTTTTCTAGACTAAATTTTGCGTAGAATATGATGCTGAGTGGTAATCAGTATACCGTTGGGCAGTTTTCTAGATATTTGGGGTCAAAGGTCAAATGAGTTCATTTGCACTGAAAGTGAATGTCCAGCCATTCTTGTATCATGAAAACATGCTCAAAATGATCGAAAGTAAACAGCAGAGATGAAACTCAAATTTTAGAAAGCTTATTCAAACCATACATTTATTTGTCACAGCTTTCCTGAACTCATTACTGATAGAAATTTTTAAGCATTTTTTGCACTAAAAAAAGTGGTTTCAATAACAATGGTGGATTCTACTTGGACAGTGGTTCTGCAATGGTTAATCAAACACTCCACGAAAACAAAATTGACAAGTGAAAAGTTATTTCAATTGTAAATGCTAAATTAAAGTATTTGGGGAAATTTGTTTGAAAGAAATTACTGAAAGCAAATTTTAGTTGTTGTAAAAATAAAAAGTTATGAAAATATTACCTGTAGCCCAGAGGCCAACCAAATCTTAATCTGGATCTGATAGTAGAATGCATTGAAAAGAAATGAAATTGGGTTTAACGTCCTACTGGACTGGTGGGTCCTTCCACTGGACTGATGGGCCCTACCCCAGGTAGTTCATTTCATTTTCTCCCCGGATTCAGTGGGGTTTTTTCAGTTTTCGTTATTGAGATTTTCAATTTTTTTCCACGTCGGAGGCTGGCGTCTCTGGTGCCTCTTTTATAATTCGCTACTGTAAAATAGCATTATATGCAGGTTTTCGAAAAGGCAGATTCACAAAAATTGAAAATTACATGAACTTTAAAAAATGAGTACCAGTATAGTGAAACAGATTGTTAAATTCCCCACAAAACAACATTAGTTTGATTTTGACAGTGGTTGGGCCTGTCTGCTAAATCGAAATCAGCCAGTGATTCATTAATGCATTTAAACTTCAACCAAGACCTGATTATTGTAGGCCTAAGTTGATTAATAATCATTATATAAGGATAATGTTTCGACTAAGGAAAAGTACTATGATTTATGCCCATTAAATATAATATTCAGGTCACAATTTTAGTTCTAACAGACTAACAAATAGTTATCACCTTCCATAAATTGTTTTAACTATTTGTTATCAGAGTAGTACTAGAGTAATAATATTATACAGCTGTGACTGGTTTTAATGAAGGAATTATTTCAAATAGTAACCAGGAAGAAAGTAATGATATAAAGCAACCACAGGCCTGTTATCAACCGGACACCGTGCATAAACATTAACTTTTATTAACATACATCTGTAGTTGTAAAAGATAATGTGTTAAACGAGATCTAGTACTACTAGGAATTTATTTCCGATAAACTACATGTAGATCTAAACCAATCGCATATTGATTGAAAGGGAACTACATTTGGCCATTTCCCCAACCTCTTGAAAATTTTGCATACTTACAGTACTGATCTGAAAATCAAACTTTATTTTTTTTTAACCAAGCCTAAACACCAAGTTTCTTTTAATCTTCTAAATTAATCCAGTTTTGAGTTGTTTAAAGATTTTGTGCATGATTTTAGCACTATGGAATCCCTTGCAAACTACAATCTTGTCTGAAGTTGAATCTTTAATAGTACTAATGGGAATATCAGTCTAACGAATTGAACATTCCATACATGTAGATCTATACAGCAGAGTATGTAACAAATGACTGCCATCTTTATTTGCCGTGACCCAAATTGATAGGCTTGTTTTAAATCAGATTGAATCCAAGCCAGGAGATTATCAAGTGTTGGTATTTTTGTTTTATTTTTTTTCTTAATTAAATGTTAAATAATCGTTAACATGGATTAAGCTGTTAGAAGTTTGATATTTTCTGAACAATGTAAATCATGCATTGATCATGACTTTAAGTCGAAACCAGTATATTTTTGCGGTAGCCACTTTTATACATGTATTCAGTAGTGTAGATATTTGTACAACCAATGTACAATTACATATTATATAGTATCAAATATTGACCACATAATGTACTTGATGTATTTGATTGTGATTTGTGTCAAATGTTTATGTAACTATGGAAGTAAGTCAAGTTGATGTATACTGTCAATGTGACCTACAGAAATATAATATATCTTAGCTAGAGATATAACTATCAATAATATCTGGAGTTGTAACAATGGATACATATAGAGTTGTAATAAGAATTACATAGTTATTACAATAAAATCTTGAGTTGTTACAATAAATATATATTGATTTGTAAGTTGTACTGATGAAATTTATCAGGAGTTAAAGTAATAGACAAGAGCTATGCCAGATATTGGGGAATACCCAAGACAAAATGATTGATATTGAAACACTAACTGTGACTAAGCTTAAAGATACATTATGAGAGATTAGATAAAGAGCTGGCAGTTCTCACTATAATAATAGTTAAAAACAAGATAATGTAAAGGGAATTTGTTGAAAATTTCAGTGAAATTGATCCACTCTGAACCAAGAATTTAGCGATTGAATTTTGCCTAGTCTCGATCATCATTACTAAAGTCGGAAAGATGAAATTTGAAAAACATATTCTCGATTATCCGTTTTTATTATTTAATCATCGATTAGCGTTGAGCAGCAAATCGGATTCCAATCCAATAAATAGTTGGTTATGGTCTGGATTAGTTAATTAGTAATGCCTAATTAATAATTTAGATAAAATTTCAGGCCTAAAGAAAGGCCTACAATTGGCAGATTTAGCTCTTACATAATATATGTTTAAACAGTATTAATGATTATTTCACCAATAAATATATTACTTGTGTGAAGTTGATGTACAGAATATGATGAAAATATAATTTTTTTTTAAAAAAAAGAAGGAAGGTTTGAATTGCATTTATCATATTTTGGAATAAACTCATATAATAATAGATAATGTACATGTATATATTGATAGTGTTGTAATAATGAATATCTTGATACTGTTGTAATAACAAATATCTTGATACTGTTGTAATAATAATATATCTTAACTGTTGTTATAATAAATATCTAGACTTGTTTGTAAGAAAATGTATTGATAAAGTTTCGATTATACATGTTTATCTCTATAATTTCAGTGAGATGGCTATAATTGCCGCAAGGGCATCTGTAATGATATACGATGATGCCAATAGAAAATGGATGCCTAGTGGTCAAACACAAGGTTTATCTAAAGTACAGATTTACCATCATACCACAAATAATACATTCCGTGTGGTTGGAAGGAAAATACAGGATCACGAAGTAAGTAGGCAATAAATAAATAGGATCGTAATGTAATTAATTATCAGGCATGTTACGTATTGCCTGGAAGCAGACAGAGAAAAATAAGCATCTGTTTTCATCCACATAGTTATGTTCATTGAACAATTTACACTCAAAATTATTAAACCTGATTTCAGAGATTGAAAAAATGTAGTTATCGTATTTTTTTATTCTGAACTAGCAGGATAGTGGGCGAAGCCGGAGGCCAAATTTGCCCAGGGCCCAAATTTGCTGATGGCCCAAATTCGCCTGGGACCCAAATTCGATGGAATAATCACAATCACAGGGTCATTCTAGTTAATTTGTTACCACATGTGGGGGTGGATCACGGCGACAAAGCGTGATGGGTGAACATACATCTTTGATTTTATGTATATAGATAGATCAGTTTGTTGGAAAAGAAGGTATAGTCGTAAAGTCGCGGAGAAATATTTTAACTGATAAAAGAAAAGAAATATCAGGCCAAAAATGGTTCAAATCAGTTCAGTATTTACAAAGATACTGCGGATGATATAATCGGAATATGGTGAAGACCTGCCAGTGCCACCTACATGTGAAATTAATTGCAAAAATCTTTTAATGGACCTCTTTTTAATCTGATTGAGATTATCTAGCGTACAGATAATTGAAATGTTTTTTCATAATTAAATTTTAAATAGTAATCAATTAGTGTACATTTTAATGTGGATTAAGCCGTGAAAAATGACATATTTTCACAAAAATGCAAATATGACACTCAGCATCTTTAAGCTTGTGATAACACATTTTCATTTTCATTTTCGCTTACTTAATGAACATATTTACAGATTCACTGGTTGCCTTGCTAGTATTTTATTAATAATTGATGAACAGAACCCCTTGTACATCATGGGTTGTCTACCATGTTCAGCAATTATATTATTAAAAATCTCATTAATGTTGGTCTAGCCATAATTTGAGATGGTAACTGTTTGCAATACGCCAATATCTGATTTTTACATAAGAATTTATCTGTATCATGTATTTTGATAAATTTATCAAACTTACTGGTATTTAAAAAAACAACATTGCTAGTACATGTAGTTTTAGAACTGATTCGTAAAGAATCACAATGAATTCAGATATCAGTATTGGCATATGATATGAAAATTGATAAATCTAATTGACATTTTACATCTATGACGTAAAGGGTGTGTTGGGGAAGATGCTTTAAAAGGCCATGAGTAGATTGGAAAATGTTACAAGACATCATACTATTTGTTAAAACTTTCAGCATTTCTAAGTAAACTTTGTTTGTTAACATCTTTGTGCCCATAAAGGTCATAATGTGTCATTACTTAGTTGTGGTGTGTACATGGAAAATTCTCTTCCAGATTCTGATGATGAACTAAAAAAAAACAACCTTTGCTTTACATTCAATTTGCAGGTTGTCATTAATTGTGCAGTATTAAAAGGTTTGAAATACAATCAAGCAACGCCAACATTTCATCAATGGAGAGACAATCGTAATGTGTATGGATTAAATTTTGCTAGTAAGGAAGAAGCAGAACAATTTGCTCAGACGATGTTGACAGCTTTGGATACATTAAATAGTAAGTGTGTTGCCTGTAATGATTTATGTAGGATTATAATATTAATTATTTTCTGATTTAAGAAAAGTGAAGGAATTAGTTGGATAATCCATGCAGTTAATCCTCTTGGTCATATTAATAATAATATTGGACTATGTTGTTTATATTTACAATACAGGAAGGTCTATCAGCATTTTCATAAGGAACTGGCTCGACCACCTTATTTAGCCAATAAAAAGAAACCTTTCCTTTGGCAATAATTATTTTAGCTGATCACAGTGGCTTACTGATACAGATTAGTTAGATCTTGTGAGAATAGAGCAAGGGGATCATTGTCTCTTTAAAATAACTTTTGAAGTCTCAAAGTCATTCAAATTAACTTTAAAATGTTGTATTAAGAAACACTGCATGTACATCTGAGCCAATCCTCTTTAACTAAGCAAATAGATTTGAGAAACAATTACTTAGAAGATTTTTGTTTAGTTCGTATGACTGGTTGAAAGTCTTTGCATTGCACGTAATTGTATTCTCTAACTAATACAGAATCTTATTACATTTGTGGGGTAAGTCTGCTGTAAGTGCATTATATAGATGTGATAAATACCTGTCAGAAAATCAATTTGATCTGATTAATTATCCAGGATGTTCTTATTATTTTATATTTATGTTTGAAATATACAATAAATTTGTATACAAGTTTATTAAGAATATAATGAGTACTAGGTAGTTTCAATAACTGTGATGAAAGACCTGCTTCCTATTACTTTTCATATATTATGACTCATAAATAACTGTGACATTATATATAAGGTTCGGTCTATTTCTTAAATATTGCAAACAAGAAATTAATGAGTTAAATGCAACATATTGCTGTTGTCACATTAAAGTTTGATATACATATATGTAAAGTCAATATTAATAAACTAATAAAAACTAATGAGTTGGCAATCAATGTCCAAATAATGAATGAATTGTGTAATTATTTGACTGATGGTATTTAAAATTTAAAAAGTCATTAATCCAGGTAACACTATTTTTGTTCTTTTTTTCTAAACAATATTTATTCACAGAAACTGGATTGGAGAACGGGCAGAAGCCTATAGACCCCCTCTCCATAAAAGTACAACCATGATAAATATATATGGTTGGTTGATGGACTTTTAGGCCAAACCATGTACATCATATATACATCATATATACATCATATTTATAACATGGGAATTAAGTGGATTTCTGAAAAATACAGACTGTCCCTGGTTTGAATCCCGGTTTTGGTCAAGATAAACCTTGAAAATTTATCAAGCCCTGCCTTTATTCATCAGGACTGACAAAGAAAATGTGCGGAAAATCAAGGTCCCCTCTTGTAGACATTGACATGCATGTAGAAAAACCCTTGACAGTTGTAAACGAAAGCAGAGTAACCAAAAACTCTGATGTTGGGTAAAACATAACCATTGAAAAAAGATGTCAAAAGTATTGTCTGAACGAAAAATTAAATCCCATTCCATTATATCTTATTAAATTTGTCAAATACATGACACGTCATTTTGTTGTTTCAGATATGTATCGTACACCTCCCCCAGTTACTCCTGCACCTCCTCCTCCACAGACTATATATTCACAAATAAATGTTGTTGGACCAATAGACACCGACAGTGACAGGTAGGTCAAGTTTAATTTAATCTAACAACCAGTCCAAATAGTAATCAGCCATTCATTGGTTACGCAAGCAACCTATGTGGCTTATATCGAAATCAGCTAATAATTGGCCCTTATACCTTATACCAATATGGACCACAATTATTTTCTTTTATTTACCACTCTGAGTTGTATAAGATTTATGAATATGATTCATTAAATTTAAGCAGTAATTTTTATTCATATTTGACTTCCTTACATACATGGTAAATATTCCTGCAGTATACTAGTTACTATTTCAGAGATCAGATCAAATTAAGTTTGTTCCATTCATATGTTTAATAAATTTACTTCATTATTCACAGACATCAAAGAGATGATTATCAGATCCATAAAAGACAGATTTCAGGTGGAGATGGTAGGTACCATTTCAGTTTCCATTGCTAATTTACTAGCGTCAGAATGTCATAAATGACTAGATTAATCTCTGATCTGTCAATTATTTCGCCAATTGTTGAACATTAATTAGAATACACAATTAGTGATATAATTGAGTATAAGACAGATTTTTAGTTTCTGGGATTCCAGATAGTAAGAGTCTCCATAATAAGAAAATGTGAAGAATGTGGAAATAGAAATATTTTGGGAATTTGAATATTATCAAATATTTTAACCATATGTTTGGATTGTATTTTGGTGTGTGTGAAATTAAGCGAAGACTGACTGAACCTATTTTAACACCGAAGTACTGTATAAAGTTTAACGTCTATGGTGTAATGGTGATAACTATTGACAGACCTAAGGGCACACAAATATTGACACTGTTCACAACAAATAAACACAAGGGAAAAATCTGTTGATGTTTACTTTTTATGAGTAAGCTTAGTTAAACTATTTAATTTTGATTGCAGAAAAATTAAATGATGGGGGTCATTATGATTCGTCGCCTAGCGTGCCTCAAGCACCACCGGCACCAACACCACCAGCACCCCCACCTGCTCCAGCACCCCCCTCTGCTCAACCTGGTGCGCCCAAACCTCCACCGGTTCCAAACATTGGTGCACCACCACCCCCTCCTCCCCCTCCAGCAGGTGGTCAGCACAATTCCTCAGAAGCATCAGCGCCTGTTAGTGGACTTGCTGCTGCATTACAAGGAGCAAAATTAAAGAAAGTTCAAAAGGTAAGTCTGGTTTAAACAAGGATCTTTTAATACAAACTTTTTTAGGGGCAAGTCATTTTCACATGCAAAGGAATTTTAGAAGTGAGGGGGATTTGAATGAGAGATCACATTTCATGCCTTGATATCATGTGTAGCCATTTCATGACATTCAACTTTTATTTTTGTAAAAATTTAATTTCCTATAATGTCATGTTTTCAAATTTTTATCTTTTTTAGATAAAAAAATTTATTGTAAAATTATATAAGAATAAAACAAAAAACATCAATAAAAGTTCTTATGTTTCTATATTTACGATAATCATGCTTATATTTCACATATGTTTTTTTAAGTCCCCCATTAAACCTTCATGAAGAATGGGCTGACTTATACAAAAAAGATAGAAAATTAACTACTTTATTTGTTTAAGAACCATAAAAATGACAGGGTGAAATCAGTAGGAACTAGCGTAAAAATTAAATGGCTAGAACTTCTGTTACAATTGATCAATTTGAATATTTTTGAACCTATATACATATTAGTAAGAGTACTTTTCAATGTGAATGGTCGTAAATAATATTTAACATTTATTTTTGTTCTAGCATGCTTATGAACAAATTATAAGAAAATTGTCGAAAATTACTGAAATATATGATGAAACTAATGTATTTGATTTTTTGAATTTTCATTTTTCAATAAATAGATTAGTCACATTGTATAGTTAATAATGTAATGAGTATTTGTGTATTTTACAGACAGAAGAGAATAATTCAGATTCAATAGGTGGAGGTGGTGGGGGTAGTGGATCCGGTACTATGGGACGTGGTGGAAATGCAGGAATTGGTGATGTCATGAGTGAAATGCAGAAAAAATTACTCCAAAGACGTTTAAAGGCAGAAAATGTGGGACAGGTAATTGGGATTGTCAGCTAGAATATAAAAAAAAAACCTACAACAAAATTTATAGGGAAAACATTCACTGGTTTGTACACACATAGCATGAGAACACTTGTTGAAACGTTGTGCTATATATAAATTGTGTTGTGTTTTTTATTGTGCCCAAAAACCACTTAAGGATTATAGCTAGAATATAGTTTATGATGATCCACATAGAATAAGAATATAAATTAAAAGTGATAGCCAGCTGGATTTTTAACCAGAAACTTTAAAATGCAAATTATTTCGGCTTTATTAAAGATAGTATTTGTATTCAAAAAGTGTATTTTCTAATCGTATACCTGTAGGCAGGGCTCACACTGTCGATCGCCAAAGTCTCAATTTGCGATAAAATTATGAAAGTGGCGATTAAAATTTGATTTTGGCGATAATGTTGGCGATAATGTTTCGCAGTACTGGTGATTCTTTTTGAGAACTGGCGGAAAAAAATCTTAAAATTCTAATCGTATTTATCCTGGATTAACCATTTAGTGAGTGTCAATCACGTGGCGAGATACTATAAATTAATCAACTGGCCGCCGTTAATCCGGATCGCGTCGATGAGTAATACTAATCAGTTGTCTTGGATTAATGATTAGTTGATTGATAATTGTGAATGATATATATAAAGCCTATGTCAAGTAATTATTTACCCCTACTTGATTAATCCAAGCAGTGATTAATTGATGTTTCGTTTCGTCTTAAAATAACTGATAATACATGTAATCAAAATGGCCGACAGTTCCTTGCGAAGATAATTAAATATTTTGATAGCTGAATTCGTTTACAGTGGATTCATATAAGTCATATAAAAATACAAGCATGCGTATTGGATATCATTATTCCAAATTATAATATCACCACTGGACGAAAACGTAAGAACGAGTTGAATAGTGACGATTCTTGAGCGAGAAAACAGTTCGCCATTTGTATCATATTACTGTCGCTAAAATGCTCTAAAAGTTAACGACGGGTATATTGTAAGCATCTCTTAACAAATATAATTGAAATTTATACCATTCTATAAGGGATCAGATTCTGATATCTTTACGGTACCTGAAAATAACAATAGGCCCATTGTGCACGCAACACATAAATTTATAGAAAAATAGCAATCCTTGGATGAGATTTGACGTTTAAATACTGAAAATATATTGTGCAGTACTGTGTTCAAATAGATTGAAGTCACCAAAAATAAAATCTGATCTTATTAAATCCAAACTTTGCTAATCTATTATGTAAAGAAAGATTTTTAAAGCTGTTGTATATTGTATTGTATATATCGGTAACTGTTTTATAATAAGCCTAGCTGAGACATAAAATTGTTAGGTGTTGTCTTTTTATCACACATTTTTGGCAGATAAAATATTCCAGTTGTCGGAAAAAAATATGAACATTTTTTTTATATTAAAATTATAATCCATTTTGGCGGAAAAAAATTGAAAGCCAGTGTGAGCCCTGCCTGTAGGCTCATGGCCCCATATAAAAGATTGTATGATCTTCAAATGACATCATTTATTATACTTGAATCAATAAAAGAATAATAATTATTCCAGGAACCAGATAGTACATCAGCACCAGCACCAACTAAATCCTGGGATAAATCTAATGCAATTCAATCCAAACAAATGAATGGTTCAGAATCTCCAAAAATGTAAGTTTTCATCAAATTATAAAGTTTGTTTTCACCCTGAAATTGAAACCTTGAATACTTGAAATGGAGTATGAGTATAAAATGGAGTTAATGTTCCTATATCATAGAGTGCTGTAATGCCTCTCATCATCCATGTCATGGATTACACAGACAACAAAGTTTCTTGTTAAAAAATCTGTCGATTACTATTTTTATTGCCATAAACGATTGATTAATATGTACTTTTGGTAGATCTCCCCCCCCCCCCCCACCCAAAGACAACATTAATATTAGATATTATTGGCAAATGCATTACAAAATAAAATGACTTACAAATGAAACATATTAAAACTTCAAATGATTTTTTTACTTTTAAGAACAAGAAATGCTTCACTGACTGGACAAGAAAATATTAGTTCTCTAAGTGGATCGTCTGATTTAGAAACAATGAAACAAGAAATTATTATGGAAATGAGACAAGAAATTCAGAAAATGAAATTAGAAATATTAAGTGGTATGTATATTACACATATTCTTGGTCAACTCTGTACATTGGCATGACAGGAATATCATTAGAGGGTGACAGCATGTTGATTACCCTCTCTAATCAGTACTCAGCTACTGGTGCTAGCTATATTTTATAATCATCTCATAAGTTGTCATTATTGGCAATACAGTACTTCACCACATAATAGAGAATGGAGATGTGCAGTCCTTCTTAATGATAAAAACAGTTGTACACGGTTATCTAGTCTTCAACTATCCAAAGCTCTCCACACAAGAGGAGCTTATTATTATTCAATATTTGTTATGAAATTATAGTAATAAATGACTATAGTTGCACAAGATATATTCTATCTGAGTGATGAAATTTTTTTTCATTGTTTCATCCTGGAAAGCCCTGATAAAAAGATTGATTAGCGACTGCCAACATTTAAATTTGTCATGAGTATGGCAAGGAAGGTTATAGTTGAACTTAAAACTAGTATCGTTTTTCATGAAATTGTAATCTGTACACAGATTAAAATAATAAAGTTAAAATTTTCATGAAATAATAATAGTACTTTAGTTAAATAGTATGAGATTTTTTATCATATGGAATATTCTATATTTATTTCAGTTATACGCCAAGAACTTGGACACAGATAAACTATTATTATTATGTTTTCATTTTGATTTGCTCACTAGAAAAATTGTAGGACAAAAGAAGAAGTGGATTGAAGTAGAAATATATATTTTTGATTTAAAAACACAATTTGTCATTGGATTTGATCACATTTTTGTAAACAATAATTGAAGCTTTGTTTTATAAAGTTTCACAAAAATATGTTTATGATTTGTTTTAGTGTGACATAGCTTCAATATATATTTAATACCAGATGCAAGCAGATTTTACTCACTACAAAATTAAACTTGCTTACTGTTAAAGATACCTTCCCATGTACAAACTGCGTGATTTAATGATGTATTTAGACTAAAACTTATTCAAACTAATTAATCTACCAAAAATTTGCTTCAGATCCCTTTCAAAACATTGTATTCGCAAGGAAATACCCCAAGCTATAAAAAATCTATAAAAATAATTCATGTTTGTGTCTTGGTGGTCGAGGTAACTAGCAACGGGTGGCAAGCCGGAGGAGAATCCGTTGCATATAAAAGACGATGCTGTCTTTAATTGCTGTCCATTTACAATAAATATCGAAGCCTAAGTAAATTCTCGGATAATCCCCTGTCAACATCTTTTTTCCACAGTTTTTATCTCAGAAACTGTTGTACGTTTTAAGTCTGTCATTTTTTCCATGTCTGCTCACCATCAAGTTTATCACCATATACATCAAGCATCCCTAATGCAGATCAGACAATCTATTCATGCAACCTTTGAAGTCACTCAAGCAGACTTAATCATCAGGCTGTCAATTAGTGACACTCTGCCATTTTTGTCCTATGCTCATTTCGTGGGTGTTTTTCAAGGAATCCAGTATATTTCTAGTAAGATTGAGTGTCTCTACTTTTCATACCAAAATTGCCATACTTTTATTGGAAATAACCACCCGATAAATACTTTTGTGGGAAAGCATCTTTAGCCTAATATTGATATTTTGGGAGCATTCCTTTTATTTATTTATTAGAAAAAATAAGACATTTAAGAGAATGTGAAATATGGGTGTTATATTTTTTAGAGGTTAGAAGGTATTTTTTTTAATGCTTGTATACACCCTTGATAGAACACCAAGCAATGATCAAGGTCAGTTTACTCAATTCGAATACAGATTAATTTATCTAAAATGCACTGGAGCATGTCCCTTGTTGAGTACTTGAAGGATCTCTAGATTTTGCTTACTCATTATTTGATTATGTCATGATGCAGACAGACTTTACTCACAACAAAATTGAACTTGCTTACTGTTAACTTAGTTTTGATATTATGGGAGCATTCCTTTTATTTATTTATTAGAAAAAATAAGACATATAGAGAATGTGAAGTATGGATATTATATTTTTTAGAGGTTAGAGGGTATTTTTTAATGCTTGCATACCAAGAAATGATCAAGATCAATTTACTCAATTTGAATACAGATCATTTCATTTCTAAAATGCAATGGAACAAGTCCATTGTTGAGTACTTGAAGGATCCTTAGATTTTGTTTACTCATTATTTGATCAAGTCATGATATATTGTGTGTTTAAGTGAAGGGAACAAACAAGATACTATATTATGTTATATTCTGTTGTATAAATATTATAAGTAAAGCTCTAATAATTCATTTATTTCTTTACTCTTCCTGTTCATTACTAATACTATATCCTTATCTCAGTTCAGAACTGTACTTTGAACTTTGTACTTTTATTTCCAAAAAATATATGTATCTTTAAAAGATTTTTTATTTATTTTATAGTAAAATGATTTAAGAACAATATTTCATTTACATTCAGAAATTTTCTATCTTTGTAAAGGAAAATTTGGTTTTTATACCCGAATAGGTAAAATATGTAAATTAATTTTTATTCTTTAAGTCAAACTTTATAGAGTTTTCAGAGAATGTCCCTATTTGATCTATTTTGTATTCATGCTAATTATACTGCTTACAATATCTTTCATTGATTTGATATAATATTTATATATACACCAAATCTGTTCAAAGATTTCGAAACATTTTTCTAGCTTTTTTTCACATTTATGTGTTAATGTTACCAAATTATTGGACATGTGGTTAGTAGACATTTAGGTTAATAATTGAGATTTAATATAAAAGAGAGATATGTAAAGCTTTCATGGCATATAAATTACCTATTTCAACACAGAACCAAGTTCATTTTTTTAGATTTAGTTCTGACAAAGGGGATTTTCTCTACAGATTGATATGCAATGATATGAGGTCACCAAAAAGCTCAAATTGAAAAAAGTCATAAATGTGTTAATTCCCCCTAGATTAAATCGCTTCCATTTAGACTTTTGTTAAAACTTCTTCTATTTGCACTTTCAGAAACACACAGGTTAATAATATATTTTTAAAAAACCTGATCTATTTTCAGATTATAGATCGGCATAAATTGAGAATAAATTGAGAACCGTTTGCATGAAACTATAAAAGTTTTTAAAGTTAGATTACCTTTTATCAGAGCTATAAATAACATGGTGATAAATAACTTTTAAGGAACATACTGAGGCTTATTTTTGCTCAACTTGATCTAATTTAAAGTCATGTTGCTAGCTCTAAGATAAAATTCAATTCAGAATGATATAATTATTTTCCTTCTGTCATATTACATTAACATGAAAAATCTATAGTATAACTTAGGTTTAAGGTGAATAAATTTTAATTTGAGTAAAAAAATAGGTTCTTTAGTGAGCATGTTTAACACCTTCAACATGTGTTTACTTGTTTAGTATCTCTTTTATATTGAATCTCAGATGGTTCACTTCAGTTTTGTAAAGTTATCAAATTGTCCATTATCAATGGTTTTATGTTTAAAGTACTGTCACCATCATAATGATTTTTACTGGACATAATAATTGTTATAATAGAAGTAGAAAATACATCATTTACTTTCAGAAGATATACGCCAAATAATTAAATACCATTTGAAGTATTATAAATGCTTTATATATAGATAGCATTACTGTATAGGAATATACTACTTGTAAATAAAGGAGCACAAATAGACTAACATAATTAAAACAACAATCTTTTTTTTAACTAGTAATTAAATGGTAGTTTTGATAAGATGGTTGCACATACTCTGATTTTCCTTTTATTGAAGCTGATTACATCTATCCTAGTACTGTATCTTACAACGGGCAAAACTTGTTTGATCCCATCAGAATAGGTAAATAAAAGTTATCTTGTTAATGTTGATGAAACATGGGGAGATGCCTGGGAGATGTATTCTATTACAAATACTATTAAGTGTTCATTCCTACTGATCTCTGGTTAGGGAAAGGAGAATCTATAATTTGAATGCTCCCTAATAAAATGTAAATAGAGGAGCGAGAACATATTCTTACTTGTATTTTATTTTATGAAATTTAAAAAGAATACACTGTACACTGTTTAACATGTACATTTGAATTTCTAAGAGGTGATTAAATTTAATGTAGATTTGCTGATTTTTTGAATGGAGTAAATTTGAATACATCGATTGTACGATAAAATGGCGCAAACACTTATCACAAATTAAAACTACTAATAGCTTTAATAGAAGTGAACAACACATCAGTGATTGCTAGAAATAACATTAGAGATCTGATATTGTTGGTTAATGAAATGGCTTAAATGTCCGATATTTATATTTGAAAATCTAGATTTTGCTAGAATTTAATACAAATTTTGTAAGAACAAAAACTACTTGTGCACACAAATGAGTATGCATGTTATGTACTTCCATTTATATGATCAAAAAGTCACATGGTGCTTTAAGGATATTGTAGAGAATATTTTAAAAAAGAGTATTAAAATCTTTTATACCTTAAGAAGTCCTGTCAACATCTTATCATACATCAAAACAGTCTAGTTCTGGATACCAATTTCCTTGTTATTGTTTATTTCTTTATTTATGCTTATGTGCAATAATTAATTTACATTTAAATTAATTAATATTAGGGGCTAGATTGATAAAAAATAAAATATAAAATAATGATAGCAAAAATGACATTTTTATATACAATTTCCATTTTCTCCAATTTTCCACTAAATGTACATATTTGCATATATACATATTATATACACATTTATTATTATTTTATGTGAGGCTAATTTTATATGTAAAATAAGTGCTAGCTTAATTAGATTTGGGTCAATTGACTGAATAATTTATGTTTCTTGGACATGATTCGATTCAAGAGTTCATGAGGAACAGATTAATTTTTCAATACACAAGCACATCTGATCAATGACATTTCGCTAATATGGTAGAAGTGACTGTATTGTGTGAATGTAAAGATGTTACCATTATTTTTTGCGCACTAGTTTGTATAATAGAATGTTTTGAAAACATTATTTCATATTGTATTAACATTGCAACGACTAACTTATATTGTGTTAATTTATATTTAAAAACAAAAATCTAAAATAAGCCTTTTATCATAATATTATGGTGAGAAATTCAAGTACCACTAGCCAGGGTCTTCATCACTCAGAGAACAGTTAATATAGAGTTATGGCTCTGGTTTCGTTGAATGTTCTGTGTTCTTCTCTACTCTGTCTAGTCGTGTTATAAAATATAATTTCAACTCTTCAGTGAGTCACATACTAAATGTAAAGTTAACGTCAGTGTTGTTCTTATTTTTTGTGCGTGTGTGTGTTTTTCTTGTGTTGAATTTTGGACTCTTAATAATATTATCACATTGTATACACTATCTTTTGGCCTAAAAGTAACCTGAAAATTTTGTGAACCCCCCAAAATCACATTGTCTTTGCACATCAGAGAACATTTAGATAGGTACATGTACTTGCACAAAAAAATCAGCTATAGTAAAGATTTTTTTTATTCAATCTTGAACCAAAATTTCTATATGACCATGCAACTTAAATCTAATCCTGAATTTTGATTTAAACAGATTACTTGTATGCTAAGCTGAATATCTTAATCTAGAAGTTGTATATTATGCATGGGTTCAGAGGCTTGACTGGTAACCAATATTAATTGCTCCTGATTAATACTGCCATATAATACTGTAGGCTATTTTCATTTAACATCTTTTATTCTAAAGGCATAACTTTCGATACAGAGGATATTATAGAAAGTACATGGAAAAAAAAATATGTCTGTGTTCTTATTAATTTTTTTTATGTTTTGCTCTAAATGAAACTGGACCAACTATATACTGTATTTTTTTTTCCTTCAAATTTTTGTTATTATTGATATGTTTTAGAATCTGAAGTGTTCTAGAATACCTTCAATCATGAAGATCTAGACATTTTTCTTTTGTTTTGTTTTGTAAAGGCATACAGAAGTTATTCTTTATTACAATATAATAGCCAACTGTAAAAGAGGTATTTTTGAATTAATTTAAGCTTCATTTCTGTCTTTTTTTATGTGATAACAATATATGTTTTCTGTATACAAACTGTAACATAAAATTTGCATTTTTTGGTCTCATTAAATGATTTTTACAATATCTGAAAGCATGTGTTTGTTTTATTTTTCAATATACTGAATTATCCAGCTTTTTGTTACTTTTAGAACTAATGAAGATGGGCATACATCATGCATGCAGTGTACAATGCAGTGTTAGACGGCTAGCAGCGTTATCGGCAAACTCTTTTTGGAATTTCAACTGTCTAGGGTTCTTTTACATAAATGTCAAGAATGGACTTCAGGCTTGTATTTCCCATCCAAACCACTAGGCACTTTTTCCCCTGTCCTGCACATGGGAAAATTGGGTTGGGTAATCTTGAGGAGTTTTCTATAGATGCCAACACTGGGATCAAACCTGGGACATCTTGCTTAGTAAACAATAGCCATCACTAACAAGGAGTTCCGGGTTTCGATCCCGGTGTCTTCTATTCACTTAATTCATTAAATATTCGCTTTTAAGTGTTAATAATTCTATTCAGATGAAATATTATTCTTTGCAGTTTTTTGACCAAAATTAAGTGAATTATTAACACATATAAGCGAATATTTAATTAATTATGTGAATAGAAGACATGTCTTTAAATGACATTTAAAATATAAGCCTTCGCCTTCTCGTATTATCAGCACATGACATTTCCAGTAGTTCTAATTTTACAGCAGTATAAAAAATACGCGCGGGGAATAAATGAATCCTGATCATCATGTCGCATTATTCCTATTTTTTGGCGTTCATCATGTCGCATTATTCCTATTTTTTGCCGTTCGTCATTCGGCGATTTAGGAGAATCACGGACACAGGTGTTTGCCCGCTGGGTGGGTAAAGGGAAGTGACTCCCTGCAAATAATGATGTTCTTATAAAACTAAAACTGTTCAGAAAGTAATATGGCTTTTATTTGAAAGCTTGAATGTTAAAACGGTGTCAAAAACTACCGCTATACAAAAAGAATGTTTGGCTTGTTTCTTTTCGCTGTTCTGTCAAGGTTAGATCTATTTGATAAGGCCAACTTCAAGTTTGGTCAAAGATCACGAGATGTAAGTTGGGCTAGCGTTAATCCCAACCCTCTCCCTAACCCTTACCTACAATCTCGCCAACAATCACGTGCCCTAACCTTGTTTACAACTCCGCGACCTTGACACAAATTGAGCTGACCTTATCATTTAGCACTAACCTTTCGAGAAGTTCACGGAGCTATATAAATAAACACTGTAAATAAAAAAAACCCGGGGGGGGGGATGGCCTAGAGTGTCGCGCTTAGACATCTAGTTGGCTGGTCACCTCTGGCTTGCGGTTGTGGTTTCGATCCCTGGTGTGAGATTACGTGGCTTGGAGATAGGGGCGTCTTCTCAACCTCGTGGGTTTACTCTGGGTACTTCGGTTTCCTCCCACAGGAAAGAGCCATGTGTGTGGGCTGAGATAATGAAAATGAAAAATAAGATTTGTCTGTGATATAACTGGAAGTGAACGTTAAAACACTAAGAACAACTACAAAAAAAAACACAACAGCAATTAGCAGCCCAATGCAGAGCACCAAGTGAAATTGTGTGTCCTCCACACAAGTCTCGCTATCCAGCATTCGATTAGTCAGTGTGAACTGCATGGGAAGACAACTCTGTTTGGGAGATTGGAAATTGTGTTCAGTGTCCTACTTTTCTGCACCGACTGGGCTATGAGGGTAATTTGGCCCGGATAGTGGCAGTATAGCCCATTCTTATTTCAAATTCAAACTGTCAAGATCTTTTTTACTATGCGCCAAAATGTACACAGGGCCTGGGTTTTCCGTCCCTAACAATTAGAAATGTAGTTTAGACCATCATATACTTCGCATACTCGGTACATATATTTCCTTTTAGAGCCTTCAGTGGATGAGGCAACGAAATGCCAAGTTTGACACCAGAATAGCTATTGCGTTAATTCACAAGGGCACATAAGTAGCCTATCAGAAAGATAGAGAGAGAAATGGGGTTTTACGTCCACTCGACACAGACTAGGTCATTTCGGGACTAACGCATGGTCTAATTTTATTTCAATAACTCGCTTGTGCGTAGGGGTCTATAGCAGTGGGAGGAAACCGGAGGACCCGGAGAAAACCCACGAGGTTGGACAGGCAACCCTACTCCTTGTCACGTACAACCGGGGATTCGAAACCACGCCAGTTGACTCAATGACAGGCCTCATGATACAGCGCGCGCGTGCTAACCATTCGGCCATCCAACCCCCCAGTGGTAAATGAATCACACAAGCAGCCTATGTCCAGATGCTTATCTCTGCGATGCTGCGACTTAGGGGTGTTTTCACTGCGTCTCAGTATAGTTCTGATATTTGATTATCATGATCTGTAAAATCGCAGGCTGTGATCAAGTTTTCTCACATCAAGCTTGCTAGAACCTGAATTCTAAAAATATTTGGTTAAAATTACCCCCAAAATGACAGTTTGAGGTACATATTATTGAATGTCTCGTTATTCCACTTGTCAGTTGCACTGGTGTCAGGGATTTTGTTACAATTACTAGTTTATCCTGCCAGATAAAATATTTCTTTTCTTGTTTACAAATTAAGATTCGGTCAATCTTGCCTTGAAATAAAGGCAATAATTTGTTGAAAATGACAAACTTTTTAGCTGATGGGAAAAAAACTACAACAATAATATGTGTGTATTTTTTGTATTTTATAAACAATGTTTTATACACTTGATAGGTTTAAACACAGTACACATGCTCTCAAACATAACACAATAAATAAAAGGCCATCTGGTCAACCAAATAAACAAAAGAAATTATGTTTATACATTAATGATTTTCTACGATAAAAATATTCCTTTATTAAATGTATATTATGGCATAATCAGTATGACAATTGCTACTTTGGACGGATTCATTCAATAAACAATTTCTGAGAGAGAATGGCTCCAACCCTCAGAACACATGTAAAGATCTGTGGATAATTTTAATTACTGAGCAAGGCAAGAATATAAACTTTTGTCACAAATAGTATTAAATATATAAAAATGTTTGTTCCTCTTAAATGCTTAAGATTAATTAGGCTACTGTCTGCTCCAGGAGGTACTCTGACTCATAAAATTGCTTCCATTTCTTCAATTTTTATACGCCCACATTGAAATGTGGTTCTATATTGTCATCGCCCCCGTCTGTCTTTCCGTCCGGCGTCCAGAAGCAATTGTGGACGCTCTTGAGGCTAAAGTTAATATCCGATGGACTTCAGATTGATAAACAGAGTTTAAGGTCTTGAGACGAACAAGTACATTGATTTTCAATGAATTTTGATAACTTGAACAACTAAATCCATGCTAGTGCAAAAACGGAAAACTTGACCTTGAACAAAGGTGAATTTAGCAAGTTTACATTTTTATTGAAAGAGTGATTAGTTTCGATCATTTTCAGCATGTTTTTGATACAAGAATGGCTTTGTATTCACTTTCAGTGTAAATGACCTCATTTGACCTTTGACACCGAGTATCTCGATAATGCCCCAACGGCGGACTGATTACCACTCAGCATCAAATTCTACACAAAGAAATACTGTAGAAAAGTTGGGTCTGGTTTTGTGCCCATTTGATGACCCGCACTGAGCCTCCAGACTTTGTAAGGTTTTGAAACATGTCGTCATAAATAGCAATTTTGTATTATATTCTACTGGGTTGAACAACCACCTTAACATCCACAAAATGACTCAAAGCCAAACAAAACATCTGGTTCTCTTGGACTGTTCCAGATAACTAGCGAAGTAAACAAACCACGATTTCTCAAGCGAGAGGGATTATATAGCTTGATCTGAAATTGGTTCCCTGGTGTTAAAAAACAAAGGGATGACAATTCCAGGTATGTCACTAAGTTTTAGCCGTTTAAATTAAAAATTGAAGAAATGGCAAGACATTTTCCAGTCGTAGTGTCACTTGAAACAGACAATAGTAAAACTTAACATACAAATCCTTCAAAAAAGAGCACGACAAAGCAAAATTGTACTTTTGCCACGTTTTTGTCTACATAACTTTTTCAAAGTATAATAAGCTCTTAAGTATTTATGTCCATGGTATAAGCAACCATCCTTGGTATCTCCAGTGGTCTCATTCCGTTCTACTCCACTATACCCTGGGTTCATCCATAGGGTATATATTTAAATTATCTGCCCTTGGTCGCAACAATTATGTTCACAACAATATGCCAAGATCAACCTGGTACACTATAAGCAGGCACACTAAAGAGACAGAAATGGGGTTTAATGTCCCCTCGATGCAAACTAGGTCATTTTGGGACTAATACATTGTTCAATTTTATTTCAATAATTCACTTGCGCGTAGGGGTCTTTAGCAGTAGAATGAAAACCGGAGGACCCGGAGAAAACCCACGAGGTTGGAAAGACAACCCTACTCCTTGTCACGTACAACTGGGGAATCGAAACCACGCCAGTTGACTCAATGACAGGCTTTATGATACAGCGTGCACATGCTAACCATTCGGCCATCCACCCCCCCTACTTAATTAGAACTAAAGTTATTATGTCCCAAAGTATCAACCATTCAAATTGCTTATCTGTTTACCCTAAGCTGAAAATGCTCATCTTCGAACTCCATCAAGGCATTCATCTAATAAACACCTACACAGAGTTTGAACATTTTAGCTCCAATTAGAAGGAGAGTTATTGTGTCCAAAAAAAGTGTGATGGACAGACAGATGGACAGCCACATGGATAACACTAGAATGGAATGTTAATTTTACATTAAATATGACAATGTATACTTCTTAGAAGAATATTTTCAGCTAAGTATGATGTTTAAAAGATGAAACTCATATAAATGGGTATAATTCCATTATTATGCATCTCACAGTGCAATTATAAAACTACAATTTTCCTACACCTCACAATTTTCATCATGATGGCTAAATTTGTTAATCTTGTGATATTTTATGAGGTATATTTCCCATCATCATCCCATAAAAATATATTAAAAGCGGTTTTTGGCTACTGCTACTTGCAGATTCTTTATATTCTACTTATATCTAGTGTTGAAATTATTTTAACCATGTTCAACCCCAAATACAATTATTTTGTTTCCAAGAGATTAACACAAAAGTTGTGGTGTCGTGAGGGAACTGTCATCCATTGTAAACAAACAAAGCAGTGAACATTCTATAATGGTCTTTGTTCCAACACCTTTCTTAGCGCATTCATCTAAAGCCACATGGTTTTGTTTATAAACAGTGATTGACAGTTTCAAAGCCAGAAACTTCATTTGTTAATTAAAGGTAAAATGAGTTCTACTTCAGGTTTGGCATGGTGGAAACAACTTTAATACCAGACACATATTAAATAAAGATTATGCAACCACTTAATTTATGCTTTAAAATTACATAAAATACATGATTACAAAAATCGAAAGACAAAAATGGTTCCAAATTAGATAATCAGAAGTTCATACAATTCCTTATTTCTGGAAAAATCCTATTAATTTTCATTTGTTTTTTTTATTAAGGGGAAAAATTGAGTAGCAAAAAAATATATAATAAAATAAATTATATAAATAAATCAAAAACTTTAGTCCCATAAGAAAAGGAATATGGGGACTTATCAATATATACTTAAAATTGTTAAAACTTTTGATTATTTCAATACGTCGCAAATATGAAAACTTCAGCTGTTAACATGACAGTAAATCAGATCATATCCAATCCATTTTGCATTTTAGATGTGAAATACATAAAATCAATGATCAACATGTTGATGGGATGGATGTAAGAATGAAGATAAATTAAAATGATTTTCTACTCCTTTGCTTCTGGAATCTCATTATCATCGACAAAAAGTTTGTGTATAATGCCACTTTTTCGCTTTCCACTGCTAACTGCTTTTATATATGCAGAATGTGCTCCTATTTCAAAATGTGTTTCTGTTCCATCGTCAACAAATTCACCCTGAAAAATATAATAATTATAGATGAACACAAGACATGATTTGAAAGGTACAGGGATATACAATCTCTGTGCTATTATTGCTAATCAACAGGCAAATACTAGTAGTCTAGTAAAAGGTATCTGGTTATAGTGGACATAACTGCTTTATAGAGAATGCTGCAAGTTCAAATTAGTAAAAGGCACAACTATTATAATATACTATTCAAAAAAAGTAGGGGATATTTGATTTTTAAGTGTTATTAAAGTCACCTTATGAAACTGACGAAGAAACAAATGACAAAATGAAATGAAGTTCACATTCATCGATTTATTCCAAATGATCGTTAGACTAAGTAAGGCACAGACTGACCATTATAAGGGTAAAATGATACCCGGGGTCAAACAGCAAAGTTACCACAGCATCACAACCAAGTCAGTAACGGGTAAATCCTCCTCTGTTTGCCAAACAAGCATTGATCCGACATGGCATACTCCTAAAGAGACGTCTAAGATCATTTTGGTCCAGATTGTCCCATTCCTGTTGCAACGCAGCAGCAAGTTCTTGGACATTGGCAGGACGTTGTTGACGTTGACGTAACCTCTGTCCAAGCATGTCCCAGACATGCTCGATGGGGGAGAGGTCGGGACTCAGTGCTGGCCAAGGTAATGCGGTGATGTTCTGTTGTTGGAGGTAACCTGTAACGATCCTGGCTCTGTGACATCTTGCGTTGTCATCCTGGAAGATGAAACGGCGGCCATGACGTCGTGCGAACGGCACAACATGGACTGCCAAGATGTTGTCCCGGTAGTACTGGCCTGTAACACGCCCTGCAACAACATGTAAAGCCGTTCTTCCAGCAACAGTGATGCCTCCCCACACCATAACAGAACCACCCCCAAATCGATCATGTCTGATGACGTTAACGTCTTGGAAGCGCTCGTTTCGACGACGCCACACCCTCCTACGTCTGTCCAAAAAATCAACAGTGAACCTTGACTCATCTGAAAACATCACATTGCTCCAGCGTCGATTATCCCAGTGTTGACGATCGTTACACCAACGACGTCTTGCCTGAATGTGATGATCTCTCAAACAAGGGATCACGCGAGGACGTCGGGCGCGAAGGTGACCCCTATGCAGTCGATTCCGAATCGTCTGGCCACTCACTCTCACACCAGTGTCTGTTAGAAGACGAGCGCTGATCTGATTTGCTGTGATGACACGATTTCTCAAGGCCAAGGTACGGATAAATCGATCCTGGTCTTGAGTTGTCGCCCTTGGTCGACCTGAGCGTGGTCTGTCCTGTACAGATTGTGTATCACGGTATCTGAACCATAGCCTGCTTATGACAGACTGAGAAACATTCATCGTCCGCGCCACAACCGCCTGTGTTGTGCCGATCTGTAGCATGCCAAGGGCACGTAACCTTTCATTTTGGGTAAGCCAACGCATATCAAAATTTGTTTTCTGGTCACTAAAACAATTAAACTGATGTTTCCACCCTGGAATTCAATGCCACAATGACTGTAACATTCAAAGTCAGAGTCGTGCAAATCTTGGGTTGGACCCCCATGATGATCCCAAGCATCACCTGCATTCCATGCGGTAGCTATTGGTGCGTTTGGGCGTCACATGTAACTGGAAATGTTTCTTCTGTTAGGTTCTATAGTAACTTTTTTCATAGTCATTTGCATATTTTAGTATTATGCCCCCAAAATCAAATATCCCCTACTTTTTTTGAATAGTATAGATTGGTGAGAGTAGAGTAGAAGGTTTCATAATAATATATTGATCAGTTGGTTAATGAGATATACTCTGGAACAATAATTGTATTAAAAAAAGATGGAAACTTATTCACCTGCAAAATTTTTAATTAGAAAAAGGCTCAGCTAATTTATTAGGCTGAAATGTGTACAGAGTTTCATAACAATGTCCTGAACCGGTTATGTCTTTATGAGATATACCAAAAATTAAATGAAATATTATGTTGCCATGGAGACACAAAACATTGTGTACAGAATTTCATAACGATATCTTGAATGATTTATGTTCTTATGGGATACAAACAACAAAGTGAAATTTTGTTGCCATGGAAATGACACAGCTAGGTACTATAATAGGTTGATATATATAAAAAATGTCAAAGATGTAATCAGCAAAGAAAACCAGGACAGACTCCATTTCAATATTCCTCTTTAACTTCATTTGGTGCGGGATGATAAACAGAAATTTTAAACTCAAAGCTTCTAAGAGAGGATGCAAACACACTACAACATCACTGAAGGTTTCAATAAAAGAAGTAGTTGTTAAGAAAGTCTTGTCTGCAAAGTGGATAATAAACCAATTTCACACACATCAAATAAAGTCTTTCTTAACCTCTCCTTTTTTCCTTTTGATGTTAACAGATAAAATTTCAAGAATAAACCTTGTAGGATGACGAATACATGCATTCTTAATCTTACCGCCGTATCTTTTTTATCTCCATTAACCCAAACATCTAACGTATCTTTTTCTGAAACAGAGTAAAGACAACTTTTTACATTCAATATAGGTCATTTGTGTGTTCTAAAAGAACTTTTGAAATAAATTGTCTCTCCTAGGTTTTCAAAAGATGGATGACAACTCTGTTAACAATGTGGAGATCTTTGACTTTCAAGATGGTTCATCCATATGATGATATGGTGCAATGTTCATATGATATAAAACAAGCCAATAGTGAAGCTCATGCATTTCCCCAGCCACAATTCCAAAATAAATAGATGACACACACTAATTATTGCACATATCAAATCAAATCAAATCAAATGGGGTTTAACGTCCTACTGTTCTGCTCAAAACTGGGCTAATGAAGACGGGTGCACATAACAAGCAATCAAACTGATTATCTACTCTTAGTCTAAGCAGAAAATGTTAAGGATCGAATTCAGTCAAGGTTTTGAAGTACCTGGTAATGAAATTATACAGTAAGTTTCATCACTCTCCATCAGTTAGAATCAAAGTAATCTTGTCCTAAAGCACTGACCGATGAAATTGCTTCGCTCTGCTTAACTTGAGTAGATAATGTTAATCAGTCAAGACAGTCATTTAATGAACATCTACAGTTTTCTACACCATGTTTAAAACATTCTACCTCAATTAAAAGCAGAATTGTTATGTTCCAATAAAACTGCTTATCGCTACTTAGCCTAAACTAAAACAAGCGGTTGCCATGCAAGATACACCCACATTTTGCAAGAGATGGACAGAGAACAAGCTCAAAAAAAGAAGTGTTTTTTGTACAATCAAGGACCATAATGCAGGAAGTTACGATCCGATATGCATGAATATTGAAAGATACCAAGATCTCTGGGTTATAAACATGTATTTCAAGTTTCATCAAAATCAGATCAAAATTGTGTCCTCTCTCTAGAGGGTCCAAAACCTTGATATACCACTACCATATGCTATACACTATTTGCGTACGAGGGGCGGCCATTTTAACCGGTAGTTTTGGCCCGATTTTCACAAAATTCGAACTCAACCAAAATTACAGTGTAACAGTGATATATTTGAACGTTTTTTTAAATCAGATATTAATTGTGACATCTAGAGGGATCTCAAGCTAAAAACGCAATTTTTCGTACAATCAGGGGGCATAATTCAGGAAGTTACTATCCGATATGCGCGAATATCGAAAGGAACCAAGATCTATGGGTAATAAACTTACATTTCAAGTTTCATCAAAATCAGAAGAAAATTGTGACCTCTAGAGGGTGCACAACATTGATATAACATATTTTTACGTTATTTGAGTATGAGGGGCAGCTATTTTGTCGGTCAGTTTTGTTTGGATTTTTACGAAATTCGAACTCAGCCATCCTTAGGGTGTAACGGTGATGTATTCAAAACGTTTTAGTAAATCGGATAAGAATTATGACCGCTATAGGGTACACAAGCTTAAAAACGTGATTTTTCGTACAATCAGGGGCCATAATTCCGGAAGTTACGATTCGATATGCACGAATATCGAAAGGAACCAAGATCTTTGGGTTATAAATATATATTTCAAGTTTTATCAAAATCAGAAGAAAATTGTGACCTCTATTGGGAACACAAGCTAAAAAGCTTTTTTTTCGTACAATCAGGGGCTATAATCCATGAAGTTACGGTCCGATACATGCCAATATCGAAAGGAACCGAGATCTTAGGGAGATAAAGCTATATTTCAAGCTGTATAGTGTCCACAAATAATTGTGGACTGACGGACAGGGGCGACGACAATATATGTCCACATGAAAATGTGGGCGTATAATAAAAGAACAACCAAGTAAAACAAATTTCAAAAAGTTAAAAAATAATCTAAAATCTCAAATCAGGAAATGTATAGTAGCTTGGTCTAATAAATTTCGCACTTTGGACCACAATTTCGAGAACAACAAAGTAAAACAAATTTCAAAAAGTTACATAATAATCTAAAATCTCAAATCAGGAAATGTATAGTAGCTTGGTCTGATCAATTTCGTGCACCTCTAGAATCTTTTGGAGAATGGAAAAACACTGTTTTTGATCTCTTGTCTAAGAGAATCAAGTATATTAAACAAAACCCAAGACGCCTCCCACCCGAAGTACTAAACAACAATACATCTGCAGTTGAATGCCTTGCTACTCTTCAAGAGAGATTTGTTTTAACGGCTGTAAATAAGGCTAGCAACAACATTGCTTTTACCTGTAAAAAATACTATCTTAAGAATATTCTTACTGAAGTTGGACTTTGGCCCAACACCAAAAATGACACCTATAAATGTATTACGGATTTAACTAAACTTAATATTTTACATAACCAATATACTTTCAACAGGTGCAATGATAAAGATAATGATAAAATAGATGCACTACCTTACATTTATTCTATACTTAAATTCCATAAAAACCCAGTAAAATTGAGGTACATATATAATATCCACCAGCAACTGCCAAACTAAACCATTGGGTAAAACAACAAGCCAACAGTGAGGCTGATGTCCCCCGCCGAAATAGGAAAATAATTAGAGGACACATATAAATTTATCACAAATTATCTTTTAAAAAGTATTGAACAATCAAACAGTATATCTTTACTTATAGTCTAACAATCAAAGTAGGAGAGTTATTGTTTTCCAAAGTCTCGACCAATCAAATTGCGTATCGCTCTGCTTACCCTGAGCAGAAAATGCTCATTATCAAACTTAGTCAAGGTATTACTGTAATGAAACTATACACCAAGTTTCATCAATCTCACTTAATTAGAACTAAAGTTATCGTGTCCCAAAGCATCAACCAATCAAATTGCTTATCTCTGCTTACCCTAAGCGGAAAATGCTCATCTTCGAACTCCATCAAGGCATTGACCTAATCAACACATACACCAAGTTTGAACATTCTAGCTCAATTAGGAAGAGAGTTATCGTGCCCCAAAGTATCAACCAATCAAATTGCTTATCTCTGCTTACCCTAAGCGGAAAATGTTCATCTTCGAACTCCATCAAGGCATTGACCTAATCAACACATACACCAAGTTTGAACATTCTAGCTCAATTAGGAAGAGAGTTATCGTGCCCCAAAGTATCAACCAATCAAATTGCTTATCTCTGCTTACCCTAAGCGGAAAATGCTCATCTTCGAACTCCATCAAGGCATTGACCTAATAAACACATACACCAAGTTTGAACATTCTAGCTCAATTAAAAGTTATCGTGTCCCAAAGCATCAACCAATCAAATTGCTTATCTCTGCTTACCCTAAGCGGAAAATGTTCATCTTCGAACTCCATCAAGGCATTGACCTAATCAACACATACACCAAGTTTGAACATTCTAGCCCAATTAGGAAGAGAGTTATCGTGTCCCAAAGCATCAACCAATCAAATTGCTTATCTCTGCTTACCCTAAGCGGAAAATGCTCATCTTCGAACTCCATCAAGGCATTGACCTAATAAACACATACACCAAGTTTGAACATTCTAGCTCAATTAGGAAGAGAGTTATTGTGTCCCAAAAAGTGTGACGGACAGACAGACAGACGGACAGACGGACAGACAGACGGACAGACAGACAGACAGACAGACAGACAGACAGACGGACGAACCCATTTTAATAGTCCCCTGCTTTCTTCGAAAGGCGGGGGACAATAAATTATGCCAAACCCAACATGCCATTTAATGCAGAACACTTCGCATTTACATTGGCATTAATAGTTTTTTTATAATTGATAAAAACAAACCCATCGTAAAAACTTAAGGCTGTGTTGAATTGATTCCTTGTTTCTCCTGCCATCACTATGGCAATCATGTGCGGTAGTGTGATAAATACAACACAAAGTGGGTTTCAAAACACAAAGTGGTCTAGCATAATATCTTAGTCCGAGTCGTAGGACTCGAGTTCCCACCTCTGCTTATCACTGTGCTTACCCTGAGCAGAAAATGCTCATTATCGAACTTAGTCAAGGTATTGGTATAATGAAACTATACACCAAGTTTCATCACTCTCACTTAATTAGAATAGAAACAAAGTTATCATGTCCCAGAGCATCAACCGGACAGATAGACAGATTTTAATAGTCGCCTGCTTCCTTCAAAAGGCAGGGGACAAAAAAAAGTGATTTCTTGAAAACCGTATCAAAACTCACTACTTACCAAGAACAACTCTCATAGGATTACCAGCTATCGTTAAAACCCATGACTTCATAATCTTACTCTGATTCTCGCGGAATTTTTGTAATGGTTTCCCATTTACTTCCAGAGTATATTCATACGCAAATCCACTGACTGCATCGATACTAATTACTAATTTAGCTTTACCAAGATCAAAATGTTCTTTGCCCACTAATTTAAACATCCACTCTTGTCTGTATATATCCTTTAAAAAACAGAATAAATTTATAATAATTAAAAAAAAATAAAACATCTTTAGGAATTTATGGTATCTGCTTACTATTCTTCTAAAGAATTAGAAAATAAATGAAACTTGCTCTCACAGAATGACTCCTTTGGAAAACAAAGGCTTATTCACATAATTATCACTGGGTCTGATTTTAATACTGAAACGGGTACCATACATCAGACTGTTTAGATCCTTTCTAGGTTTCAGTAAAGGTCTCTTGAATAGGCTAGCTATACCTGTTCTACATTAATTGGAAAAGCATCTCTGTGAGATATTTATACAACAACCGGCACATAGATAAAAAATATTACTACCGTTATTGCTACTGACTCTAGCACCAAAATCACATTACCGATATTTAAATTATAGTAAAGTCTTATCTTACATACATGTACTTCATAACACTATAGAATCTCTTCATAACAGTACTATGAAAATTGAATCTCTAATAGTAGTAATAGGAATATCATCCCAAAATGATTCAATTCCATTCAGTATTAACAAAGATATGATGAATTCAAGATTCCATTGATTTATACTCCTCCCTATGTAACAATACAGCTTTATTTGCCAAATCTGATTGATTAAGTCCAAGTCAGTTGATTATGTAATACCACAGGGAGTATTTCATATCTTGAAGTGGTTAAAGAAATGGGTGACAATGAGAACTGGGCTAAGTAGGTATTTTGCAAGATTCAACTTTCTTAGACTAACTCACTGACAGTTCCTGTCACCATCAATTTCTGGAGGTAGGTTACGGGTGTGCAGTCATCTTGTGCACAGATTCTGATTAGTCCAATTAGATCAACAATGTTGATAAAAACGGGTGCTCAAATGAAACACTTGCCCAAAAATGGTATCTGCCTCGCCATAATAATAGCTGACGTATCTAAACATTTTATATAAATTAAAAATCACCATCAAATTTGCTTTAGACATCACTGGTGTTCCTAGAGGGATATTTAGCTGCCATGTCTTAGTTTGAGGCCAGGATACAGACATCATGCATGCAGGGTTCTTAGAAGAAGGCATACCCACAGCCTCCACGGTTAAGAGGCTTGGATAGAGACAACATGCAGTGTTTCTAGAGGCACATACCTTTAATCGCCTCAGCTTGGAGACTGAGGGAGATCACCATATAGACATAGAAAGAAGAGTGTAACGCCACAAAACACAAGCTAAGGGATAGGGAACTTATATTTAGCTTATATTATTTAATGTCATAGCTGGGTGTGTAGTTTCCTGTATAATAAGTTAATAATAGCCTTTGTATATGGATGTTATAAAGATATATAATGATAGTTATACCAGTGTAGAAGTCCAGAGTTAATTCATAATTCATCTATTTAAAAAAGAAATACACAACATAGAAGGCCTGACTGGATACAGTGGCATATTGCCTTTCTAGTATTGTGACAAAGGATAGTCACAACGTAACCCCTTAGTGTCATAATTATCTAGCGGCAGTATTTTAATTTTGTTTTCTTACCTAAATGTTAAATAATCATTCTTAGTACATATTAGCAAGTTTTAAGCCATGAAAAATTTGATATTTTCATAAAAATGAGCTTTTAAAAGTTTAACTGAAACCTTATTATCTATTTTTTGTATTTACAGGCAAAACATTTATACCTACTTGCCCATCTACTCTGATCACTCGTTTTCCTGTCGTTGTGCCATGTTCAAACTCTATCTTATGTACACCATCGCTTAGTGATACTTCCCACTGTGCTACAGTATCAGACATAATTTGGCACTGAAATATAATTAATCATTTAAACATAAAAAAACCTACATCAGAATTCAAAATAAAAGGATGACACACATTAAATTACTTGCACATTTATCTTTTTATAAAGCACCATGCAATCAAATTACTTATCGATTCACTTTGCTTAACCTGAGCAGAAAATGCTTACATTATCAAACTTAGTTAAGGTAAGGTTCCAGTATACACCACAAATGTCCACATTTTATCACTCTATAATAATAATCAGTCCTGGATAAAATCTTTTTATATCCACACAGTCTTGTCAAGTTTGTTACCGGGGATTTTTCTACTATGATTTATCTACAAGGAATTGTTCCTGTTTTTCCTCAGATGCATCACTGAGATCCAGACTTGCTTGCACTGTTATGGGGACTCTTCCACCCCTCTTTTCCTATCGTGTGTGAGTTTTTTTCGTCATCTTCTTGGGATTAATAATCAGTCTTATCATGTTTTATAAAGCATTGACAAATCAAGTTGCTTATTGAGAGAAAAGTTAGTGTGTTTCAAAGTCTCAACCAGTAATTGCATTTCTGTGCAATTTCTGGTATACCTATTTATCAATTCTAAAATCTTTTTTAAACTGCATTATTAATGTTGGAGGTTTGAAAAAAAAAAATGATGCTCTTTAATTTTAGAACTTACATAAATCTAATATTTATGATATTAGATAATACTTATCCTGACATAACTATTTGCATATTCCGTTTTTCCTTCTCGGTAATCGTCGGAAGACATCAAAGTAAAACTGAAATACCGCCATGACCTCTGACCCATCTCACTATCACCACTGACCACATCACGTGTCACTACTGTCTTAAACTTCCTCTTCCGTTAACCTGCTAACCATTATAACATAGTCACATGCCAAGGGGAGGACGGCGGGATCGAGATCTTATGTCAGGATAAGTATTATCTAATATCATAAATATTAGATTTATGTAAATTAATTTACTACTTATCCTGACATAACTATTTGCAGAATTCATCAGAAAAGGCGGTGCTGGCATCTTGTCACGTGGAGTAGTGGTGATACTAAAAATAGATTTCAGAAATCAACGGTAAAACTCGATACATCTCGGTTACCGTGACCCCAAATGCACATACTTCCGAGTAATTAATATGATATCATAAATCATATAAAAACACCGAAAAGTGCCCGTATCACATTTTTGGAGAACAAGACAAAACTGGAACCCACCTGTCTTGGTTTCTGGCGCTGCTTTCTGTCTATATATATCCATTATATTACAAATAACCATCACCATAACAAAGGTCAAGGCCTCTGACCCTTCAACGTAATTACACTGCTACCATATATACATCAATAATCACACCATTATTATCGAACTCTTCTAGGCCCTGAAAGCACTTGTTGTGCTGCCACCAACGGACCCAATGAATGAACGCCATCTAAAGTCTCATCCGATAAATCTCGCAAATAGAAATTTGCAAATGTCGTATCACCAGACCAAAAACACCCCTTCATAATGTCGCTGACAGAGATATTATTATGAAGAGCTAAAGTTGCTGCGTATGCACGAATTTCATGAGGTCGATCCGACACAGGAGGCGGAAGACCTGCACTTGAGTAAGCTGCCAAAATCGTAGCCCGTAACCAAAAGGCGAGAGTATTTTTCTTCACGTCACCGTGCTTCGCTTTCAGTGGTAGAAAAAGCCGCTTACGCTGACGTCTGAAACTACTTGTAGACTGTAAATAGATATTTAACGCGCGAACGGGGCACAACGATAAATCTTCATTGTCGTCAGGGCCCAAAATGTTATCCAGTGACCGAATTAAAAATGTTCTATCAGGTTGACCTGGTCGTTGATTCTTGGCCACGAAATCGAACATAAGCCCAAGCTGCACCGCACCCTTCTCGGCCCGTATAAATTTGACTTGAGTGACATCCAACGCATGTATTTCGGAAACTCTAGCAGCCGTGGCAAAAGCGAGTAGAAATGCTGTCTTATATGTAAGATGTGTCATGTCAGCTTCCAGCAACGGTTCATAAGGTGATTTTGTTAAATACGAAAGTACAATTCCTAAGTCCCATGGTGGAGGCTTAAACTTCTGTAATTGGTCCTCCTGACGAAACCCCTTCACCATCGCTGAAATAACATTGGACTGTCCAAGTTTGACGGACATAATTTTATCACGAACAGATGCAATTGACGTCACATACGACGCTATAGTTCCACCTCGCAACTTTTTAGATTCTCGTAGAAAGATTATGAAATCAGCGACTCTTTCCTCAGGAGCCCTATCGGGTATGACTTTATTTACATTACACCAATCTACAAAAGTCTTCCATCTGACATCATAGGCATCACGAGTAGAAGATCTGTGAGCCTTCAATACAGCAACTGATGATTTCTCAGAAAACCCTTTTTCCATCAGTCCTTCCCGAACAAAGTCCAAGCGTGAAGTTGGAACAACTCCGGGTTTGGATGAGCTTGCTTTGTGTGAGGGCTTACTAGAAGTCTTTTCCAGACTGGTAGTTTTATAGGATTTACTTCTGCCAACTGAACGAGATCCGGGAACCATTGACGTGTTGGCCACCAAGGCGCGATCAAAAGAATTTTGCATTTGTAGAGCCGCACTTTCTGTAGCACCCTTGGAATCAAGATTGCTGGTGGGAATGCATACGCGTCCATCAAGTGCCAACTGATCGCTAGTGCATCGTGATCTAATGCCCTTGGATCTGGAACGGGTGATACATAAATTGGCAACTGATGATTGAGACTTGTCGCGAATAAATCCACCAATGGGGTCCATAGGCGTCTGCACACCTGTCGAAAAAGATCCGGGTGAAGCATCCATTCTGTTGCACTCGGTCTGTCCGGTCGGGATAGAGCATCCGCTATAACATTCAACGCTCCTGGAATGTGTCTGGCTCTTACTGCAATTTGAAGACTGTCTACCGTCTGATAAAAGTGAAATGTTAGGGACATCAGAACCTTCGACCTTGTTCCTCCTAGCTTGTTGATATATGTCGCTACTGTGGAGTTGTCGGTTGCGATCATTACTGTCGAATTTATTAAAAGGTCTGACCAATTTTGAACTGCTCGAATTACTGCTATAAATTCTAGAGCGTTTATGTGAAGGTTCTTCTCCTCGTGATTCCACGTTCCGGCGACGAAGGGATTGTGGATCGAAACGTTTTTCTGGTGACCCGTTAAATGAGCACCCCATCCCTGATGACTCGCGTCTGCGTGCAGATAAAACTGGGGTTCCTGCTCTACCAACGGTACCCCCGTCATCACATTTACGGGAACCTTCCACCAAAGTACATGCCGCTGTAGCTCCGAAGGTAGAACTATTAAATCCTGAAGTTCCAGTGACTCCATTCTGGACTGTATGAACATCTGCAGTGGTCGTAATTGAAGCCTTCCTCGGGCCGTAGCATACTGGGCTGATGTTAGAAGGCCTAAAGCCTTGGTCCATGTATGAACCGACTGTGGAGCATCTTGGATAGACTGAACAACTTGTTGTATCTTGTCCCATCTGTCCCGAGGTACCAACAATATTCCCCGAGACGTGTCGAATAGTCCCCCGATGAACTGGAGGTTCTGTGTAGGTATTAAGTCTGACTTCTCCTTGTTCACTAACCAACCTAGTTGGCGAAATACTTGAAGAACGAACTTCAGTTGCGCACAAAGACTGAGTTCCTCTGAGTTGGCTAGAATACAATCGTCTATGTAGGAGTCGAACCGGACTCCTCGAGAATGTAGAAATCCTACTATCGGCTTGGTAATCCGGGTAAACAACCAAGGAGCCACTGATATTCCGAACGGCAAAACCCTCCAGTGGTAATGACGTCCTTCGAAATAAAACCGAAGGTACCTGTGACATGATGAATGAATCGGGATGTGCAGATAGGCATCCTGTAAATCGATTGATGCTAGGAAATCTGCTGGACGAATCGCCCGCCGTAACTGTGCGAGCGATGTCATCTGGAACTTCGGAGGTGGAGCCAAATAAAGCTGGTTGAATGACTTCAAGTTGTGAATCATTCTCAGCTTGGTCGAATTTTTCTTTGGAACCAAAAATATTCTTGAATAAAACCCCGGAGTGAAATTGTCCAATGGGATCTCTTCGATTGCCTCCTTCTCTAAGAGAATAAGAATGTTTTCTCTTAAGATTTCCGTATGCGCATCTGGATAAATCACTTCTACAGGTGTCTTCGTTAACGGCGGAGATGACGTCAGTTGTAGACGATATCCGTTTCTCAACACATCTGTCACCCACTGATCGCCTAAAATTTCCCAATTTTTCCAATACTTCTGGAGCCTTGATCCGACAGGGGACGTTTCGACCGAAACTTCCGGCCTTGGAATGGTAAAAGTCTGTACATTTGACAAGATGAAACTGTCTGACGAAAGGCCCGATTCCCCCCCTGACATGAAGTCAACTTCGTCGTGACGTGCCTGTCCTCGAGTTGTACGAAGATCTACTATAAGACCCTCCTCTTCCACCTCTTCTATTATCTTGGTTCCGAAAAGAATTAGATGGTCCAAACTTATAACTATTAGATGACGTCGAAGTCGTTGCCGATGGCGTTGAAGCTGTCATCTGTTGAGAAAATCGTGGCTTCTTGTACGATGGTTGATTCCGTCCGAAAGAAACATGCTTCCTTTTAAGTATCCGCTCGACCTTGATATTCGATTCGAGTGACTTCGCCATAGCCACCTGTGTGTTGTGACTATCTTGTGCCTTTAAGGCCTCCTGAATGTTGTTATGAAACACATATTCTCCCGTAACCGGTTGTCTAAGCAAGGACTCTCTCAAATGGTGTTCTAACTTTGAACCTTCTAAAGCTGCAACCCGTCTTTCCTTGATAATATTACCAACTAGGAATGTATTAATGTTGGCAATAGTATTCAACGCCGATGCCGCTGAAGCGATAGCCGAAGTAACACAAATGTCATCTCCGTTCTTCGAATGACAAAACTTCTCTAATAAAGCCTCTAAATGTGTTCCTAAATGAGACGAAGCCATCATGGATTGTTTAACACATGCCTCCCAACAAGACAGTATTCCATCCTCGATCTTAGCCCCAGGAATAGATCTCCTAGAAGTCAGACACTCCATGTTAGAATCTACTTTCAATGCGTCGATAGAAAAATCCAGACCATGTATTGGGTATAAACTCTCCTTAATAACTGGCTTATTGAATAACCTTCCCTTCCAATTCAATTTCTTGAACGCAGAGTTAAGGAATGAAGACACTTGTTTTACAGTTCCATCAGGGGGTAAGGAACGACCAACAGTAACTGCTGGTGTTGATTTTCTTGATACATTTGACTCCACTGGACGATCTGGTCGCAAAGGCTGTGGCGAAAGATCAGGTAAAATACTGTAAATCCAAGCAATTGTATCTCTCGGTGACAAAATACCTGGTTCAGAATCGGACGCTTCAGAGTTGGCTGACGAGTGATCTGATTCGCCGCTCTCATGCGCTGGCTCATAAACAGGTGCCTCCACATCGTGTGTGGTAGCGTTCGTTGATGATGGAATACGAGTCGTACCTGTCGACGATGAGGAATCTCCGGTAACTTGACCGGTGTTAATCAATAAATTCTTCAAGACATCCAAAATTTGAACTGCGTTTGGTGTCAGTGAAGCGTCGGGCGTCTGTGAAGCGCCGGACGTCTGTGAAGCGCCGAATGTCTGTGTAACACCGGGCGCCTGTGAAGCGCCGACTGTCTGTGAAATGTCGGGTGTCTGTGGAGCGCCGGTCGTCTGTGAAGTGCTGGACGTCTGAAAAACGCTGGGCGCATGTAAAGCGCCCGCGCCGGGCGCATGTAAAGCGCTGGTCATCTGTGAAGCGGCGATCGCCTGTGAAGCGCTGGCCGCCTGTGAAGCGCTGGTCGTCTGTGAAGCGCCGATCTTCTTTGGAGCGCCGGTCTTCTTTGGAGCGCCGACCTTCTGTGGTGCGCTAGTCTGCTTGGATGCGTTGATCTTCTTAAATGACTTCGGTTTCAGACATGCGCTGGGCAACGCCGAAACTCCCGGCTTCCTATATGCGCCGTCCTTCTGAGAACTTGATCTCTCAGATACGCCTCTACCACGCTCTTGTGGCGACTCCATCCTGTCGAAATCACCGACCTGCCTCTCTGCATCACTAAACATGCCGGCACCAGGAGACTGGCTCTCCTCGGGAACGGTGACATAACTTCTAACAAGCCTGTCCTGTTGAGTGGCTCTCTTACGAATAACATCTAAATACACCTTGAAGGCTTTCTCATCTAAAGGTAAACACCAATCACATTTTCGTAGTAGCGAACAAGTTTCACCCTCAACACAATCGGGACAAAAAGGATGCGGGTCCTTGGCCGATTTAGAGAAATTGCATCTCGTACACATAGATCGTCTTATTTCCCCAGTCGAGTAAGCAATGGGGATATCAGCAGAAGACATAATAAAGTCAAATAAAGGTAAACAATTATCAAACCAAGTAACTCAGAGAGCTACAAAAAAAAAACACGTGCACTCGTCATGCACGGAAAACGGAAGAGGAAGTTTAAGACAGTAGTGACACGTGATGTGGTCAGTGGTGATAGTGAGATGGGTCAGAGGTCATGGCGGTATTTCAGTTTTACTTTGATGTCTTCCGACGATTACCGAGAAGGAAAAACGGAATATGCAAATAGTTATGTCAGGATAAGTAGTAAATTAATTTATTTGGTTTGTGTTGCAAAGTCTGTTCTATAATGTTAACATAACTCGAATTACTGAAATGAACCTGCCCCAACCTTTATTTAACTTTAAAATTTTAAGCCTTATGTAAATGTTAAAGTAGCTAAGTCTATAACTCAATATCATCCAAAATCTTCAACATTGAAAACACTTATTATTAATTAATTTAAATCAACATGTATGCTGTGATCTTACCGGAAAAAGATGGGCTTCTGAGTGATATTCAATATTTAAGACAATATAAACATTTCACTATTGGTACACGAATCGTGTACCATAATGCGTTTCAGCCCCAGTTGTAACAAGAGACACATTGCACCAAATCAAACAGGGTCGCCATATTCTTATCTGGAGACCATGCACAATAAATACTATGTAGACTGGAATAACCAGACGCTAGAAATTTGCATTCAAATTCGATTGAGACTGCTGGCTTATTTCATCGAACATAACTGATTTGAAATTAGATTAAAAACGGAAACCATTGAATGTATACATATACATTCATATTACAGTATTATATGCGTTGCGACCCAATTGTGTCAATTTCTAGGTCCCAAATGTTAGCGATTTAGCTCCTTTAAGCCTTATTTTTATTAGTTACTGGGCTAGTTACTAAGTTAGTTCATATCATCATCAAGGCAAAACGCAATTTAAGACAAGACAAAGGTAGGCCTAATCCTAAACTCGTAAAGTCAGACATTTCTTACTTGACTGTGCATTGTGACATCATTGTCATGCATAACATTGTTCATATTTCAATTTGTTATCATAGTATAATATAGAGCGAAGCTCTAAAGCACCGCGCAAAGCGCGGTGCTTGAGCAAAGCTCTTTTCCGGTAACACAGGAGCGTAATTGAAAATGTCACCCACAGACTGTTGATTACAAAAAAATTCAGACCGGAACCGGATACACTGGGCAAAACAGGCAATGCGCATGTCAACTTACCAAATCTCGCCAAAGCGAGATCACGTAACTAACAAAAATAATTCTATCCACCAAATCTCGCCTAAGCGAGATTACGCGCCTCATAGAATGATTTCTATGACGCGTCTAATCAATGACGTCACATATTTTTTACGTCAATGAAAATAATTCTCACACTTTTTTGTTCTTTTTTTAAAAACAAAATTAATGTATAAAATTTAGATCTCAATTATTTAACATTTTTTGTATCACTTGAGAAAATTAATTATGAAGGTTTTATATTTAACAATAATCAGCTTCGCTCTACTCAGGCAATGCCTGTTACATATTAAGGAGTTCAGTTGTGTTTGGTTGTTAACGTAAACAGTGGGCCCAACATTGTCAGCGTACTTAATCCGCCATTTTATTCTTGCTTGATTTTAGTTAAAATGTATTTAGTTATTTAGATCTACTACCAAATAAGATAGATTTAGATGTATTGCATGCGCAGTCAACAGGCAAACAAAAACTATCCACAATGTTTTGTCCCTCCATGCACATCGATTTTATAAATGAACCATGCTTACCTGAATGAAAATTCGCCGAAAACAAGGTTTCAGGCGACAAAAATATTACTGTTAATACCGGAAATAGTCATAAAATCAAGAGTTACTTCCCCTTAATGGTGCGTTCGATTACTAGCGCCGCGCTTACTCGAGCCTGCACGAGTGCGTTCCATTATGTCATGGTGCGTTCGGGTTACTACGAAAGCCCACCCTGATCCCACAGAGTGCTGATCCACGAAAGCCCAGAAGGCTCATTCCAAATTCCAAATTCCAAATTCATGTCTTACCAATAAAATAGCAAATTGGCAGCCCCCCCCCCCTCAATTAAACAAATTAAATTAGAATTTAAATAAATTGTAATTTTACACAACTAGTTAGTGCTAGTTTACCTATCTGATGCCTGGGCGAAATGCGAAATTCCAAATATTTGCAAATCATATATTTTTATACAGGAAAACAATACACGGTATCATTGGTACGTTCTATATCAACTTTACGGCAAGTTCACACCAATCTGATTAAAATTAAGTCGGCTGTTAACGTTTAGTATCCGACACGCCAACACGCTTTTCAATTTTTCAATTACGACCAAACTCGGAAAACTCGGAAAGCTCGGAAAACTCGGAAAATATTTTCCGAATTTCCCCTCTCCGAGTTTTATGAATTGACTCGATTGAAAACACAAAACTCGGAAAACTCGGAAAAGATTGTCCGACTTTTTGTTCCAAACTGAAAGGTCGGAAAATATTTTCCGAGTTTTCTATTCAAACAAAACAAGTCGGACAATTTTTTCCGACCTTTCCTAGTTTTGTGTTTTCAATCGAGTCAAATCATAAAACTCGGAAAGGGGAAAAGTTGGAAAAGTATCAAAATATATATTTTTTTTAAATTGGCGAAAGGAGTTGTACTAAGATGTCTATTTGAGAAGTTAGACATGATCCATGTAACTAATTCTTTCAAATTTAACCAAACGAATGCAATGTGTTAGTTATAGGCGAATACCCGAGTTTTCCAAGTTTGTATTTTAGCCTATACGAAAAGACCCGGATAACAAAAAGATAACAAAATAAAATATTTGTCATTTCTCCTTATGGGGATAACTTGATTTTTTGCTTAAAGACAGACATTCAACGAAGGCTAACTTTTAAAAAATAGCGAAAGAAGTGAAAATAACACATATGTTTAACAAGTTGGACATGATATATTTTATTTTTTGTGATATTTATAACTGAATATCCGAGTTTTCCGAGTTTTGTATTTTGGGCTATACGAAAATACAAATCTCGGAAAACTCGGAAAGTGGCAAAAAGATAATTATGATTATTATACAACGGATTTCTCCTTAACGGGAATAACTTGATATTTATAGTGTAGCCTACTCAAGTTTTTGTTGCATCGAGACAGACATCACAGGCAGTACTACGTGTCGAGAATACCTAATTGGATAATTAAGTGATAGTAACACATCTATTTAATAATTTGGACATGATCTATAACCTTTTCAGTTAGATTTTAACCAAAATAATGCAATATGGCAGTTATAATTAAATATCCGAGTTTTACGAGTTTTGTATTTTGGGCTATACGAAAATACAAAACTCGGAAAACTCGGAAAGTGGCAAAAAGATATCAAAATAAAATATTTTTCATTGGATATGATTATTATACAGCGGATTTCTCCTTAACGGGAATAACTTGATATTTAGTGTAGCCTACTCAAGTTTTTGTTGCATCGAGACAGACATCACAGGCAGTACTACGTGTCGAGAATATCTAATTGGATAATTAAGTGATAGTAACACATCTATTTAATAATTTGGACATGATCTATAACCTTTTCAGTTAGATTTTAACCAAAATAATGCAATATGGCAGTTATAATTAAATATCCGAGTTTTCCGAGTTTTGTATTTTGGCCTATACGAAAACACAAAACTCGGAAAACTCGGAAAGTGGCCAAAAGGTAACAAAATAAAACTAGATCTGCGAAGCAGAACTGATGTATTTTGGGTTTAGAAAATGGATATAAAATCGGAAGTGAAGAGTCAAGGTCAAATATCTCGATACAGGTAGCATTCGGTTTAATATTAGGTCATCGGCCAATGTATACGGTAACTTGTAATAAGATTATAATGCAAATTCAGGGTGTAATTATTAATTTTAGCAAAGTTTTGTACATGGACATTTATAATCAAAAGTTATATAAAACTGGAAGTTAAGGGTGAAGGTCAAATATCTTGACATACGTAGTATTCAGTACAATAGTACTAACCAAAGGTCAAGGTCATCAAGACTGAAGTTTAATGGTTATATACATGTTTGTATCTGAAACGGAAATAAAACCGGAAGTATAAGGTCAAGGTCAGATTTCTGCAGGACCAAGTTCATTAAATAAATATGTAAACAGATATTGACCATTTAATTTTTTTTTTAATTTAAATCGAATTATTTCGAAAACAAAATCGAAATTTAAAATTTTTGCTTACAAATTGTCTAGTAAATAAAAAAAAATTCATTTAAATTGAAAAAAAATGTTAGTCTCAATGACAAGACATGTGCTTTTAAAAAAAAATCAAAATGGCGGCAAAACTGTAAAAGATAGCAATAAATTGTGGGAAAGTTTCATATATTACTTTAGCATGATCGATCTGAAAATGAAATCAGAATTTCTAAAAAATAAAAAATAAGTGAGATATAACGTCCTATTCAGATAAACTTTTGTCCTTGAAAAAATACAAATTAAACCGGAAGTTGAATTTTTGTGATTTTCCAGTAAAACATCTCGACTGTGAGATAAATCGGCATGTGAAGTTTAGAGGCAATAGCTCCTATAGTTTAGGCGCTAACGGAGGGTGTGGACTTCAAAAAAAAAAAAAAAGTTATTTTTATTCTATTAATGTTATTGTTGTTTGTTTATTTGTTTGTTTGTTTACTTATTAAACAGGTTTTAGTCGATTTCAGTTTTTTCTTGAAAGGGATAAGACAGATGGTGGTGAATTAAAACTGAAATAAACCTGTTGAAACTAAAATAAAACCGGAAGTATAAAGTCAAGGTCATATTTCTTGGTATCGTTGGAAAGATGACATCGAGTACTTTCAAATAAATAGTTGTAATTAACTATCAGATAATTAGATAACGAAAAATTGCTATTTTAAAAAAAATTAAAAAAATTAAAGTTTAAAAAATTTTTTTTTTCAAAAATTTAATTGAAATTCAAAAATCGGCTCCCATACATTTTTTCTAATTTTTATTCTTTATTAAATAAAAAAAGTTCGATTCAAATTCGAAACAAATTGAAAAAGTAGATCCAAAAAGTCTGTTTTTCGAAAAATTCAAAATGGCGGCCAAACCGTTGAATTTAGGTCAAAAATAGTGATACATTTTAATGATAATAGTGGTGTGGCCGACTGATTCGTAAAATCAGAATTTCGTTAACATTAAAAATAAACAGTTGGTAAGGCCCAATTTTCCGCTTTTTGAGCCAAATCATAAAATAACCCAAACCGGAAGTGGTGCCCAAAAAGTATTTGGTCAGAATTTACGTACTATTATAATTATACACTGTGCTGAAAATCAATTCATTATGATAATTAGTAACTGAGATATTAGCAAAACATTTTCCAAAAAATCATAAATTTAAAAAAAAATATTTTAAACTAAAAAAAAATGTAACCTAATTTAAAAAATATGCCCTTTTTCGAAAATATTTGTTTGTCCAAAGTGATAAGAAACTAATTAAAAGAAACCCGATCAAAATCGGATAAAAATTAGGTCATTTATTAATAAAAGAAGGTCAGTAGGTCAACTTTTTCACGGGTCAAATTTTTTCTTCAAAATGCCCAGTTCTCTAAGTCAAGTAAGAACTAGACCAGTTATGATAATTATAATGTTGTATATAGTGCGCGATTAGGAGAAAACTTCGTTCAACAATCCTAAAAAAAAAGACAAGAAAAAACATAATAATAATCCGAACGATTACAATATGGTTTTGGTTTCACCAAAATCCATAATAATTTTTATTGGATATGAGGTGCTGACTTTTATAATGTACAAAGGAATCGCCATTATAAAGTATTTTAATTAAAATTATATTTTGTTATAAGTCATAATTATCAGAATGTTTAAAATCTTTAAAATTTATTTATACGGTATAAACACTGTTAACATGATATAATTTATGTATTTTTATAGAGACGTCTAGCTTAAAACTGTCTTATCTTTCAATCTAAATAATGTACAATCTACTGTACAATCCGTGAGGAATTTTAAAATTTTTACTATAACCAGAAATATTAACATGCATGGGCGTACATAGAGGAAGGAAGTGGGGGCTGATTTAACCGAAAATAGATTTTCAAACAAAGTCCGTTATGCCCGCGGCTTAGAAGGAGCCTACATTCTGTCCCACTTCTTGTTTTTTGTTTAAAATGTTGATTTTGTGCATGAAATGTTGACATAAGAATGTAGAAACAAGAATCATTAGTTTAGAATGTTGCGTTCGTGTCTATAATGTTCAAACTGGAATGTAGAAACAAGAATCATGAATAATGTCCCATTTGGGTTCCTATCGAATTTGGTGTCAGTCGGACAATTAAGGCCCTTACTATACCCTTTTTTGTGAGTTTCATATTGAACGCTTTATCAAAAGTTTGTAAATAGTCTACAGGATGAAGTTTTCAGTTGAATATTTTGGTAGAATTGATAGATATGATAAGAAGATGCTTTCTTTCGAATTTGGTTTCACTCGGAAAATCGGTGCACCTTGTCACGCCCTTTTTGTGAGTTTCATATTGAACGCGTTGTTGAGAGTTTGTAAACATGCTGCTGCTGTTTTTTAGTGTAATGTTTTGCAATTTAGTGTGATGCTTGGGTATGGTATGACGATGGTTCCTTTGGAATTTGGTATCGGTCAGACAATTAGGGCCCCTACAACGCTAAACATGCTACAGATGAAGTTTTAAGTGGAATGTTTCGATACTTAGTAGAATTGATGAATGCGATAAGGCCGTGGATCATTTTAAATTTGGTAATAATTGGGGCGACACCTCAACCTTTTTATAACAGTTTAATTTATAT